TTATAATTTTTTTGAAAAAATAATTACTTTAATATTTTAAAATATTAATTAAATGAGTAACTGGTAGTAGTTATCAAATTATTGAACATGAATATGAATCTAGCATGAGCAATAAATTAATATACTACTAAACCCATTTGAATCATTTATTCATTATCCAAACCATCAAAATCTATTTGGATTTTATCAGATACTCGATGAATCAGTTAAAATTATTATTCTTAGTGCTTTTGTCCATGACAACCATTATTCTCCCCTCACTTTCATTTATATATATATATATATATATAGTTTGAAATTTCTATACATGCAAAAAAAAAAAAAATTATGATTTCTTATATTACAATTTAAATATTGAAATTTTCATGGTTATTTTAAATTTAAATATTGAAATTTTCATGGTTATTTTACTTCCATCGAAATACTTGAAACTAAAAAGATAAAAAATAAAAGATATTATCTTGACAAATATTAATCTTAGAATCCAAATAAAATTTAAACTTTTATTAGTAAAATATAAAATAAAAGGGACGAAGAAAAGAGAAAAGGAAGTGAAAATAGGTTTGGTTATAATTTAGCAACGGATAAAACTTCCGTTTCTAATCTGTTTCTAGAACCAGTTCACAGCAACCAAAGAAAAAATTAATTTAGGTTATCACTTTAGAAACGGAATATATTCCTCGTTGCTAAATATTTGTACAACCTTCGCCGCTCTTAGCAACAAAATAATGGAACAAGATTTGTTAATTAAATCTACTTAAAAATTATTATATAATTTTAATCGATAAGTAAAATTAAAATTTTTTTAATTAGAGCGTCCATCTCTTAAAAATATTTCATGATAATGCTATTAAGGAAGAAAAACTTATAAGCTTATAATTATTCACAATTATTAAACAATTATAGGTAATATATAAATTTATAAATCTAAATTATAATAACTATAAATAAAAATTATTTTTTTAATTTGTAAACAGAAAGAGTTAAGGTTACACTTACTACAAGAATAAGATATGATTGCAAACTCAATAATTTCAAATTAGTAAAAGTTTGATATAACAATTATTAATAGTTAAAAGCAACAAATTCTTGTCAGTCAAAAGCAATTAAAATTAAACATATATATAGAGGTATGAAAGGACAAATTCCAAATTAAAATGAGATTAAATTTATAATATTAATATAATAAAAAAAATAAATTGATATAATAATTAGAATATGATTAGTAATGTTATTTTTATCAATTCATAACCTTAACAGGGGCATTTTAGGAACCAAAAATTCCCCCTTCATTCGTACTTTTATATATATTATAGATTGATTGTTGCATGATTTATTAAATAATAAAATAACTTAATTAAATAACTTAATTTACATTTATGTTCAACAAAATTTTGTTGCTAAATTTTTAATACATATTCACTAAGTAGAATTGTCCAAATTAACCGCTTTTATTCGTAAATTCTAATTATAATGAGCATTTTAAAAACAGTCATAAGTTCAAAGTGCATGCATGTGGATGTCTAAATCAAAGAAAGGGCAATGAATTTTGTAATGCTTTCACATTAACCTAATATTATGTTCATAAATAATTATAATCTAACATTCCTCTAGAAAAAGTTATAATAATAATAATAATTTATTTTTAATTATAATGCTTATTTACTATACACACGCAATATATATATATATAATAATATATTTATTTATTATTTGACATACCGTCTAAGTTAATTTTATATAAAAATATAGAAAGTAAATAAATTTTGGAACCAATGGTATTTACATAATCTCTAATTATAATGCTTATTTACTATACACACGCATATATATATATATATATATATTTATTTATTTATTTGAACATACCTCTAATTAATTTTATATAAAATATAGAAAGATTAAATAAATTTTGGACCAATGGTATTTACATAATCTCTAAAATTGTGAGGACGTTGCAAGTTTCAGTTAAGACAAATTAACAAAAACAAATGTAGGGAAAATGGATAATTAGCTAGCTTTAATTTTAATTATATCTTTTAATTGGAATATTACAATAATGATGGAACAAGGACTTGACAAAGTTGAAACAAAATTACAGAAAGAGTTGAAGGCTTCCATCCCTTTCTTGTATGTCTTATATAGCTAGGTATTCTGGTATTCTGGTATAGTTAGTTAATTCTCACAAGATGGAGCAAGGAAAGTAGGGATCAGGGTCCTTATACCACACACATTGGTCCTGTGGTAGAGGGACACTGCCCCCCCACGACACAGCGACGGGCTCTCCAACTTTTTTTGGCGGTTCATCTTTTTTTGGCTCTCCTACATCGCTCACGCTTACTAGCTCTGCGTGCACCATCTTACACTTTGGTAATACACAGGTGAGAAAGTTGGGTCATTTTGCTGACTTCTTCCTTAGCGAACTTGTAAGTTTCACTGGGTCTACTCCTTCTCCGATCACTTCTAGCTGGTTTTTATCCTTTTCTCCTAAAGCCACTGATTGCACTCCTGCTCGATGCAATAATCAGCAAAAGTTTGTAAACATATAGAAGTAATTGAAACCAAGAAGAAGAACCAATCAATTCTAAGCGTTTAGATAAAATTTCTGTGAAAAATTTTCTGATGAATATATTTTTTCATTTATATTGAATCAAGAACCTATTTCAAACCAATTCATATCTCTAATTCAAGTTCCAGAAACCTCCAAAAAGCAGTCGCTGTTTAATTTGTAACTTACCATAAACGGCTCAAACCGCTGTTTCCTATGAGCCCTTTTTGCTCGAGGACCGTCGTTCATGAAACGTAATCACTCATTTTGGTCTGCAACGGGTTAACAGAATAATTAAGCAATTTTATGATTGCGATCAGTTAAATTAAATTAGTTATAAGACAGTAGTTCCGGAAGTGATGCGAGTGTATGTGTATATATATCGAACCCGTGTTGCCATGGTTTTTGGATTGTTTGTGATTATGCTGGTAGTTTTTAACTAATATCTAATTAAAGTTCTTCAAGTTTGTGGTTAATGGCGGCGGTGGTGGTGGTTGGAGGTAGAAGGATTAGTTAGTGGAACTTATTCGCCTGTGGAATTGTTACGGTTGTCATGCTATTTTATATGGCACTGAGCCATTACCTTTTTTTTTTTTTTTTTTTTTTTTTTTTTTTTTTTTTTTAAGGAAGGCATGAGGGAATTTCTTTCTCTGCCTAAAATATACGTGTAATAAAAGTCGGCTAGTGGGCTTGCTTAGTTGAATGAACATTCTTAAAATCTTAGTAAAAATTTTAGTTTTTGCAAAAAAAAAAAAAATTAATTAAGAAATTAGGTCTGTTATGATTGATTTTCTTACGAACGCAAAGAATAATACATCTATTATTACCATTACTACTAAAAATTTTAGTTTTGGCTAAAAAAAATAATTAAGAAATTAGATCTGTTACGATTGATTTTCTTACTAACGCAAAGAATAATACATCTACTATTACCATAACTATTTTACTTCTATTACTACCGCTGCTACTACCACGGTTATTTTTACTACTGCTATTGTTATCTCTATTGCTACGACTCTCAAAGTTTATAATCGTATAAATGGCTAAACACAATAATTAATTAATTACATAATTATAATAAGTGCCAAATACCATTTGGATAAAAATAAATAAATTGGCTTTCATATTTAATATATAAAAATTAGAATTATTAATTTTTATTAATTTAATCTTGAATTATGTGTAGGTTAGATGTCAATGTCATGTAGAATTGCTGAATTAGAATGTTAAAAACAGGTAGGGTACTGACTACTCTCTCCGTCTCATTGAAGTCCAAGCCAGCCTACCTAATTTTACTATTTTATAATTTATTTCATACTTAAACCATTGACTGGTTCGTTGAGTCAACTGACTAAGTCATAGTTTTTTATTTTTCAATTTATAATTAATGATTGATAATTCCATGTATTTTGGCAATTATACAAGAACTTTCAGCTTCATTTTTGCGGTGGATTAGAATTATATTTATTGATAATTCCATGTATTTTGGCAATTATACAAGAACTTTCAGCTTCATTTTTGCGGTGGATTAGAATTATATTTATTATATTTAATACATTTTATTCTTTCTCTCTATTTTTATTTGCCGTTTCTTAAAAGTTATTTAATTTAAAATTATTTATTTTTTTTGACAATATTATAGAGTATTAATAATTTTTTTAAATTTTATTCTTATTTTTGTTGAACACAATAACTATTCTCTAAAATATATCTTATCACTTTCCTCTTTCTCTCTTTATTTTAGTGGCAGATTAATAGATAGAGAATTATTGACGATTGAGATTATAATTATTTCCATACATTATGTTATATAAAAATTAATGATTAAATTGTTATAATAATACTTAATTGTTACTTATTCTTTTTAAACAATTATATATATAAAATGATCACATTAAAATATTGTTTTTTTGTTATACAATGACTAAGTATGTTCAGATCAAGCACCTAATGCCGTGTTGAAATCAGTCATTACAAGTCCAAAGATATCTGAACTAAAAAAAAAAAATACAATGAAATTTCTATGATGCTTTCACTTTGTTTTCTAATTTGTATTTCCAAAAAGTAGCTTTCACCAACCCTAATATTAAAATAAAACAACTCCGAAGAAAATAAAATCTCTAGGGTTAACAGTCGTACTTCTAAATTGTCTCTTGTTCTCTATTTGATTTCTACTCATGAAGCTAGAAAAATTCCATAATTTTTTTATAACATTATATTCTTAAATAAATAAATAAAATTTTTGAAGGGTATATACATGGCAATCTAATATTATATTCATAAATAAAACTTCACATCGTGTGTGATATATGAATTCATATATTTTATCAAAATTGTCAATATATATATCTAGAAAAGGGACAAATACTAGAATTTGAATCTTTAACTTAAATATCATAAAATAGAATACTCCAACATTAGATCATTAACCCAATAAAGATGGAACAAAAACTAGACAAGGTGAAAAAAAATAAAAAAATGAGTTGCAGACTTTTCTCTCTTTCTGTGTAATCCAATCTATATAGGTATTATGGTAGAGTTGGTTAATTCTCACAAGATGGAGCAAGAAGAAGGGTAGGGATCAGGGTCCCCATAGCACACATATTTATACTGCGGTAGAGGAACACTGCCCCCACACGACACAACGACAGGCGCTTCAAATTTTTTTGGCTCTTCTTTTTTCTCTCCTACAGCGCTGACGCTTATTAGCTCTGCATACCCCATCCTATTATCTGGTAATACACAGCTGAGTAAGTTGGGCTTTGCCATCTTCTTCCTTAGTGAAGCAGTTAGTTTCACTGGATCTACACCTTCTCCGATCACTTCTAGTTGGTTCTTATCTTTTTCTCCTAAAGCTGCTGATTCCACGCCTGCCATAATCACCAATTTAAGTTAGCTTTATCCAAGAATTAATTACTCAGGATGAGATGTCTGTGATCGTATATCAAGAAACCAATTTAAACATAAAAAAGCAGTGGAGACTGTTTAGTTTCTAGCTCACCATAAATCCCAACAGCAATTTGAAGAGCCTTGGAGCGAGACTTGTCGCCATTCATGCACACCCTGATCACCATTTTTTGCTGGAATAATGGACAGAAAATTAAGCTACTTTCCGATTTCACTATACTCTATACAGATACAAAGTTAGTTAATGATATAATATACGGACCTTCATGGTTTACACCAAACGACTTAAAAGCTTTAAGTTTTAAGGGATATAATATCAATGGCGGTGGACAAGGATTGGTGATTCGTTCTCCCTGTTTATAGGCCTCTTCTTGAATGTATTATCGATGAGGGCATTTCTCGGATTAGCGATTTTTCTTGTTTTGTAATTTTGTCGTTTTCTTTTATATATTCCTTTACTCCATGTGATCCATATTTCAAACCTTTCACTGGTCTGATCCAAAATTACCAATTATGTGGGAAGTACAGGTCTTAAGAATTACAGTTATTACAGGTCTTAAGAATTACAGTTCAGGGGGAATTATTTTCTGGAAAAGAATAATTACATGTGTTTGGAAGAACATCCAACTTCATGGATAATAATGCAAAATACAATAATGCAAAATACAATAATGTTTATTATATAAATTTAATTACATTTAAGTAGTAAGATAAATTTGTGAGTTCATTGCATTTAACAAAAAACTGTAACTTTCCTATACCTAAAGGATTACCAATTATATGGGAAGTACAGGTCTTAAGAATTACAGTTTTCAGGGAATTATTTTCTGGAAAGAATAATTTACATGTGTTTGGTAAGAACATCAACTTCATGGATAATAATGCAAAATACAATAATGTTTATTATATAAATTTAATTACATTTAAGTAGTAAGATAAATTTGTGAGTTCACAATAATGTTTATTATATAAATTTAATTACATTTAAGTAGTAAGATAAATTTGTGAGTTCCTTGCATTTAACAAAAAACTGTAACTTTCCTATACCTAAAGGAGTTATTTCCGAGAGAGTTAGGTGATCTTTCTCTAAAAAGGTGGAATTGATATCATAAATCAAACAAAAACATTTTATATATAGAAAGTTACACTTGCTCGGTCTATTTATTCCAAGAAAATATTATAGAAGTCTTTAAAATGCTAAATTTAATGAGGACAACGTTTCATGAAATACTGTCTCAAACTCTAAAAATATAATAGATGTGACATTACCGAACACAATAATTAATTAAAACAGTATTTTAACCCAATTAAAACACTAAACAGTACTCGAAATGCTCTTGCCGAACAGAGCCTCAATATCATTAGTATTGTGCTAATAGTTTTCAAAACTATATTGTATTGTTAGCTAATATTATAAAAATTGATTTGATAGTCGATGGAACATTCTAAGAAAATTTGTGACCTTCTATAATAAGAAAAAAAAAATTAATATGTAAGGACGACTTATGCGTTGATATTAATATTATTAAAATTGATTTTGGTTAGTTGAAGGAACCTGCTATTCAAATTTTGACCTTCTATTATATTTTAAGAAATAAATAATTGTCTCCCAAAAAAATAAATAATTAAAAAATCAAGGACAGTTTATGCATTCATGTTAATGGACCATGAAAATGAACTATTTGCTTAATTAATTAATTTAATTAATTCTTTAATTCCAAAGTTTTACTGTCATGAGTGATTAAGTTCCCATAAACAACTAATGTTTTGGTGCTAATAACAAATAAAAACTTGATCATATAAATAAAAAAATAAAAAATTAATATTTAGTTTCTAAAATTTGAGTTAATTATGATTTTATAAAAAAATATAACCAGTCTTTTATGTTTATTTATGTTAATAAAATAGTTTATCTAAGAATTGGAAACCGCATGCACTAATTAGGTATTTGAATCTATCCGAATCCGTTTAAAATGAAATTTTATTATTCATTCAAACTCTATTACAATTATGTTTGATATCCAAACCCATTTAAATATTGTTCAACATTAAAAATATTAGTTTATTTTAATTTTTAAAGATAATATAAATAAAAATCATAAAATTCAATTTTGATGACTTAAAATTATAATTTGATATTTTTGTTATTAGGATTAATGATTTTTAGGAGTATTTTTAGGTCTTATTTGATTCACTTATAAGTCTATAAATAGGCACATTCTTTTATTAATTGAATGAAGTGCTAAATATTGTTAATAATCTTGTGCATTTCCATTTTTCCTTCCTTCCAAAATTTCAACAATGAAAATGAACTATTTGCTTAATTAATTAATTAAATTAATTCTTTAATTCCAAAGTTTTTCTATCATGAGTGATTAAGTTCCCATAAACAACTAATGTTTTTTTTTTTTTTTTAAAGAACCTATCGGTGCTAATAACAAATAAAAACTTGATCATAAAAAATAAAAAAAATTACTATTTAGTTTCTGAAATTTGAGTTAATTATTATTTTTTAAAAAAATATAAACAGTCTTTTATGTTTATTTATGTTAATAAAATTGTTTATCTAAGAATTGGCAATGGCCTACACTAATTAGATACTTGAATCTGTCTGAATCCGTTTAAAATGAACTTTTATTATTCATTCCAAACTCTATTACAATTATATTTGATATCCAAACCCATTTAAATATCGTTCAATATTAAAAATGTTAGCTTTTAACTGCAGATCTAAGAAAAATTTGAGCTTTTAAGCATTTATAGTTTCTTAGTGTAATTAATTGGTTTTATCATGGATTAATCAGTTTTATTGATTTGAGAGAGAAATATAAACCTGATAATTTGCTCTTAGAAAAATATTAGTTTAATTGCAAAATATTTTGTCAAACACGTGAGCCGTCCCATCTAATGAAAAACACGTGACACGTCCCATAATTTCCATTGAAATACTTCGCAAGTTGGTCAATTAGTTCCTTTATAAGGTCCATGTCGTAATACCCGTTTATAATTTTGGCGGCTTCTTCGCATTTTCCCCTTCATTTACTCTTTCTGCAATTTTTAATATTTTATATTCAGCTATATATTCAATTATTATTAATTATTAGCTTTAATAATAATAATAATTATTATTATTATTTAAAAGAAATAACAATTATTATTATTATTAAACCAAATTGATGCTACAATCTACTTCTTACAAATATAAATTTAGCTCTCCAATATTATAAATTTTGCTCTCCAATATGAAAAAAATAATATTAATATATTTAATTATCTCTTAAAAATAATTATGATATGCAGACCAAGTCATCGTATAGTAATAATTACATGTATAACTTAGTAATAGATTTAAGTTTAAATCACTTTCAATACTAAAAAAAAAAAAACAATATGCTCGCTGTAAGGACCTATTTGTAATTATATAAAAGTAGATCCTTGAAATGCAAATTTTGATCCTTTTTACCTTGTTCTCCATTTCTTGGCAAGTTGGACCAATCTATATCTTGGTTATTCAGTGCACGTTAAGGCCGATAATCAGTAAGCAAATGGTGAACTGAACACTTTATCTTTTTACATTATTCTCCATTTCTTGGTTTTTCTTTTCTTTGATTTATCTTTGATTTCTTTTCTTTGAATATGACCTGTTGGCAACTAGGTCATATTTTTATTATTTTTAATTCATAATTATATATATATCTAATAATTGATGATTCAATGTAAGAGATCAAATTATAGCTCAGTAGGAGCAAGTTAGACTTTAGAATTTAAGGAAGTCAAAATAAATTTTTCAAAAGTTAGGAGACCAAAATAAAGAAAAAAAAAATTTATACTAATTAAAAAAAAAAGAAATCTGAAGTTTGGGGCCCGGGCTCCCCCAGCCCCCCCCCCTCCCCTGTAGCTAAGGACCTCAGGTATTAAATAATCAATTTCCTTTAGTTTTTAGAATATGAATCTCATTTTCTTCTTATATCTCTTACTGTCCTGATGTATTTTACTGAAATAAATTATCACAAAAATTAATAGGATAAAGTACTTCTTATTTTTAGAAGAAATCAAATTAGAAAGTTCATTAAGTGGAAATTGTATACAAATATAAGATGCAAATCAATATATTTATATATTTTTGTATAGGAGGTTTAATAATAAACAATTTATACCACTACAAAAATTTCGGTTATTACTGACGGAATTTTCTGTCTGTAAAATATAAAAATCTGTCGGTAATTAGGTTTGCTGATGAAATACCAATGGAAAATATTCGTCGATAAAACCCTTGTTGGTAAAATATTATCAACCAAAAACTTATTCCGTCTGTAATTTAGTGGTATGATATATTTATAATTTGGTTTTAATTGGTTTCGTCAATAAATGGTTGTTAATCCATTGGTATTTTTAAAAAGATTTTAAAAAATAAAAATTTTAAATTATATTATTTTTGAATTAATACTTTCATAAATCAATTAATCAAATCAAAAATTAAATTAATTACGTTCTTAATAATTACACCGATAAAATTTAATTCATAACTAAGCTAGTTAAAGAAAATTAATTATTAAAACACAAAAAGGAAGCAAAAAAGAAAAAGATAGAAAAAAGAATAGAGAAAGAGGAGAAGAAAAAGGAAGATGCAATAGAAGTAGAAAAATAAAAATAGAGGAGAAGGAGGAAAATGAACATGAAGGAAAAAGAAAAGAAGGTGAAGGAGAAGAAGGAAAAGAAGAATGAGTGTGAAATAGAACTAGAAAAGAAGAAGAGGAAAAAAAATATAACACTAGAGGACAAGGAGAAGAGAAGGAAAAATAAAAACATGAAGGAGAGGAAGAAAAAAACAACAGGTGTAGAAGAAAAGTAAGAAAAAGGAAAAAAAAAGAGAAGTGAACATAAAGAATAAGAAGAAAAAAGAAAGAAAGACAAAGAAGACGAAGAAGAAGAAGGAAAAAGAAAGTAGAAATAAAATGATAGGAAAAAATGAAGGAGGGAGAAGAAGATATGAATTTATACTGTAGATTTTGCAATTACCGACGGAAATCTCGTTGGTAATTGAAAATTTCTGTCGCTAATTTCTTTATTTTTTCACCTATTATGGAGCCAAAAAATTTAAAATTTACGGACGGAATTTCCGTTGCTAAATTTGGTAATTTTCTGTTGCTAAATTCTAAAATCCGTCAGTAAATTTGATCTCGTTGCTTAAATTCTAAAATCCCGTTCAGTAAATTTGTAATCTTACCGTCCATTTTGTACTGGCCTAAATTTTTTAATTTTTTTTGGAATTCGTCAGTAATCTGTCTTAAATAAACTTTGTACTGGCTAAATTTTTAATTTTTTTTGGAATTTCGTCAGTAATCTGTCTGTAAATA